CCCCCCCGCTGGCGGACGTGCCAGCTTACCTTCGCTGCGCTCCTCACCTCCCTGCCCGGAGATCTTGCTTCAGACGCCGGGGAAAACGTGCTGGTCAGCTGGTGAAGCTCAAAGCTCTGCGCGCTGCATCTTCCTCTTCAGCTGGCGGTCATGGTCTCCAGCTTCCCGCGTGCCTGGACCACGTAACCAGCGGGACTTGTCAGCTGTTGCGCAGCCCGGACGACCTGGAGGGGATGTTATTGAAAACCTGCGGCCATTATCGCGTGCTGACTCCACTGCTGCTGGCTCTACTTTGGACAATATCCGGATGTGTTTGGTCAACGCAAGATCTGTTGCCAACAAAACTTTTATCCTCAGGGATTATTTTCAACAGCACGATCTGCCCATCCCAGTTTCCTGCGCCAGCTTTGAGCTGAGCGTCTTTGAACTCGGACATTCACCTCCGACGTTATTTGCACTTGTCTACCGTCCACCTCGATCTAAGGACTTCATAAATGAGTTTTCTGACTTCTTGGCTGAAATCACACCAAAATATGAGCATCTTTTCATTATTGGTGACTTTAATTTGCACGTGTGCTGTCCTGAGAAGCCCTTGGTTAAGGACTTTTTAGATTTATTGGACTCATTTAATCTAACTCAGCATGTAAATGGTCCCACCCAAGAGCGTGGACATAGACTGGACCTTGTTTTAACTCATGATGTGACTGTTAATAATCTTGTTATTGGTGATAATGTTTTTTCAGACAATATGCCAGTCCAGTTTGAGTTCACCCTCCCCCGTCTAACTCCTAAGTCGTGCATTCTTGCACGTCTCACCCGGACCATTAACCACTTCACTGCCACATGTTTCACAGATGTTTATAACTCTGAAATGATCATTCAGCCCCCAGTGTTTCTCACCACCGCTGAGGAGCTGACATCCCAGTTCAACTCTGTCTGCTTAAAGACTATGGATCATGTCGCACCTGTTAAAACCAAAAAGTCAAAAATCAAAGCAGAACCTTGGCTGAGTGACATCACCAAGGCCGTTAGGCAGCAATGTAGGAGGACGGAGCGAAAGTGGAGGAAAGACAGGCTGCAGGTCTCTTTCCAAATACTTAAAGAGAGTTGGCGCTGTTATCAGAAAACAGTAAAAGCTGCAAAATCAAAATTCTTCTCTGATATAATTACCTCAAACTCTCACAACCCACGTGTCCTCTTCTCCACCCTAAACTCTGTTCTCCACCTCACTGAACCATCACCTCTGGAAGCCTCGACTGAGCTGTGCGACAACTTCTTACATTTCTTTTTGGAAAACATTGCGACCACCAGGGCTCTCATTTCCCCTCCAACTCATGACCCATCCATCCCACCTCAATCTGTAGCTCCATTTGACCATTTTGAACCCATGACTCTATCTTCTCTAGAGCAGGTCATGTGCAGCTTGAAACCTTCTGGTTCCCCCTTTGATGTGGTCCCGATTTGAAGTTCTTTATGGAACACTGGGATGCCATGTCATCCGGAGCAGAGAGGACAAGGATAGCCCAAGTTGTTATCAACGCTCTGTTCAGAAGCCTGCATCACTGATGGTATGGGGTTGCATGAGCACTTGTGGCATGGGCAGCTTGCATGTCTGGAAAGGCACCATTAATGCAGAGAACTATGTTCAGGTTCTGGAACAACATATGCTCCCATTTAGACGTCATCTCTTTCAGGGAAGACCCTGCATTTTTCAACATGATAATGCCAGACCACATTCTGCAGCAATCACAACATCATGGCTACGTGGGAGAAGGATCCGGGTACTGAAATGGCCAGCCTGCAGTCCAGATCTTTCACCTATAGAGAACATTTGGCACATCATAAAGAGGAAGGTGCGACAAAGAAGGCCCAAGACGATTGAACAGTTAGAGGCCTGTATTAGACATGAATGGGAGAGCATTCCTATTTCTAAACTTGAGAAACTGGTCTCCTCTGTCCCCAGACGTCTGTTGAGTGTTGTAAGAAAAGGCGGGATGCCACACAGTGGTAAAAATGGACTTGTCCCAACTTTTTTGGGATTTGTTGATGCCATGAAATTTGGAAACAACAGATTTTTCCCTTAAAATGATACATTCTCTCAGTTTAAACTTTTGATCTGTGATTTGTGTTCTATTCTGAATAAAATATTAGATGTTGGCACCTCCACATCATTGCATTCAGTTTTTATTCACAATTTGTTTAGTGTCCCAACTTTTTGAAATATGGTTCGTAAGATTTTGAATTAAATTTTGGATTTGACAGGGAGCCAATGAAGAGAAGCTAAAACTGGAGAGATATGATCTCTCCCAGTAACTGCAGTTAAGACTTTGGCAGCAGCATTTTGGATCAACTTAAGACTTCTTAAAGTAGGACACTCAGATAATAAACCATTGCAATAGTCCAGTCTAGATGTGATAAATGCATTTGACCTTTAATCACAGTTAAATTAGGTTGGATTCAATTCATCCATGTGATTTCAGTCTGAATGTGACGTTAAAAGTGATGAAAAGGAGAGGCGTCTATTGTGAGCAATCCAGGAGATGAAAGCAGAGACACGGGCATAGCCTCCAGGTTTCTGAGGACGCCCACAGCCCTCCCCAAATGATGTTACACCTGTTAGGAACAAATATGAGAGCAGCTCTGTCAAAAATCTGTGTGTGTTGGTGTGAGTGTGTTTGTATGTGCGAGTCATAAACTGACCAACCACCGTCCAGCGTCTATCTTCTAGACACATCAATGGCCCTCCAGAGTCTCCCTGTAAACAGTTTTACATTATTTGTAAAAACACATACACAAAACACAACAAAATAACCTCACCTGACTGCATCTAACCAGTTACCTGACCGTACCTGAGCCCATCTAACCAGTTACCTGACTCTACCTGTGGCCATTTAATCAATTGCCTGACTGTACCCGAGTCCACTGAGCAGTTACCTGACTGTACCTGAGTCAATTCAATTCAAATTATTTATATAGCACCAATTCACAACAAAGTTGTCTCAGGGCATGATACAGAAACATTCACATACTTTTCTCTCATTTGTTCTTCTCAATGTGTATTCTTTGTCTTATGATTGTCTACTGTTGTCATCATTCTTTGTAAAAATCATGTCTCTCTTCTAAATGAGTTTCCAAGTCTCAATGAGACTAACCTGTATTAATAAAGGTTGAATGAATGTACCTGAGTCCACCTGAACAATTACCTGACTGTAGCTGACCATCTGAGCAGTTACCTTACTGTTCCTGAGTCCATCGAACCAGCTACATGACTCTACCTGGGTCCATCTAACCAGTTACCTGACTCTACTTGGGTCCATCTAAACAGTTCCCTGTCTGTACATGAGTCCACCTGAGCAGTTACCTGACTATACCAGAGTCTATCAAACCAGTTACAGGACTGTACCTGGGTCCATCTTACCAGTTACCTGATTGTACCTGAGTTCACTTAAGCAGTTACCTGACTGTACCCGAGTCCATCTAAACAGTTACCTGATTGTACCTGTGTCCATCTAACCAGTACCCTGACTGTGCTGGTGAAGATTCTCAGTCATCCAGGACATGATGAATTCAAAAAGCGTTCAATACAAAAACAACTGGACTTTATTTGTAACAGAAGACGTTTCTCTCCTCATCCGAGGAGCTTTCTCAATTCAAAGAGCAGAGAGTGAGAGATACAGGTTATAAGGCTGAGTGAGATAAGACACACACACACACATAAGACACACACACATTTATGTAGATTGGCAGTTCACACCTAAAAACCTAAACAGTAGGTCTTTGTTCCTCTAATTCACAGTCGAGGCCCCTCTGTTCTCATCAGGTGTGAAAACCGGCTGGGAATCTGTTTTAAAGTTGCATTATATGTTTTTGAAAGTGGAAATCTGAGGCCTCCTCCTCTGTTAAGAGACGGCTTTTCTCTTTTTACATAAATTGCTTCCTTCACCCCCCTCTCAAACCATCTGTGTTCTCGGTCCAAAATGTGCACATTTTGGTCCTCAAAAGAGTGTCCCTTATCTGTGAGGTGGAGGTGAAAGTACCCTGTACCCAGTACCCTGACTGTACCTGAGTGCATCTAGTTAGTTGACTTACGCTTCGAGCTTAGACCGCAGAAGGACAAACTGACCACATTTCCTCAATCTGCTGCTGTCTTTACTTGTTCTACTCTAATTGCTTGTAATTGTAATTATTTCTATATTAACATGTGTTTTTTGTCTTTCCTCCTATAGAATGTACACCTGGACCTGACATTCTGTGTTTGTCTGTTTCTACTTCCTGTCCTCTCAAACCCAGCTGGTTGAAGTAGATGGCTGCTCGTCCTGAGTCTGGTTCTGCTGGAAATTTCTTCCTATTAAAAATATTTTTTTTCCTTTCCACTGTCTCCTTTGTGGGCAGCATGGTGACAGAGTTGGTAGAACTGCTACCTCTCAGTGAGCAGGTTACCCTGGTTAAAATCCCTGTCCGGAGGACTTTCTGGGTGGAGTTTGCATTTTCTCTCCGTGCATGCATGGGTTTTCTCCAGGTACTCCGATTTTCTCCCACAGACCAAAAACATGCATGTTAAGCAATTTGTTTTCTTCGTTTGGCTGCTCCTTTTGTCAAGGGTCGCCACAGTGAACCAAGTCGCATGAAGACTTTGCAATTATTATTACACCGGATGTCCTTCCTGGCACAACCACAGATCACCGAGCTACCACAGCCCTCTGTGTGGAGCAGAGAGCTACTAACTGGGGTGCCTGGCGGAGCAGATGATGGGGGTTAAAGGCCTTGCTTAAGGGCCCAGTGTGGGGCAAATGAGGGTGGAGGCAGATGTGGATGCTTCACCTATCCTACCCACATTTTTGATGTTTTTGGTACAGGGAGTTGAACTGATGACCTTCTGATCACAGGCCTACCTTCTCTGACCTCTACACCACCTCTTCCCTGCATGTTAGGCTAATTAGTAACTCTAATTGTTCCTAGATGTGAGTGAGTGTGAATGGTTGTTTGTCTCATTTGTCTCTATGTGACCCTGTGGTGGACTTGCGACCTGTCCTGGGTGTACCCTGCCTCTTGCACAGTGACTGCTGGACATGAGCATCAGTGACCCCCGCAACCCAAAAAAGGAAGAAGCTGGTAAAGATGATGGATGTCTCCATTGCACTTGCTCAGGATGGGAAACTGTGACATAGTGAAGATTCCACACAATCTGCTACTTTATTTTTTTTAAGGAAATGTAATTGAGATTTGTTTTTTGTTCACGTTTGTTTTGTTGTAGTTTTTTCAGCAAAAAAAAAAAAAAGAAAATGTCCAGATGACCTGACTGAAAATTGTTGAATCTGTTACTTTGTTACGTAGATAACTTTGTAGTGAACTTGACCTGATGTCAAAACTAAGCCTAAGGTCAAAAC